TATATATGTAACATAGTTAATATGAGCGTTGTTAAATCCTGCTAAATTGTGAACTAGCGCCATCTCCTGGTGCCCGCCGTACCTGCACTTATTAAACTCGCGCGAATTCTGAGTCCTCCTCATTGTTCTGGAGAACTCGAGACGAGGTCACGTGGCTGTGAAACTGTGTGGACAAAAATGATTAATTCACTCATGTGTAGCTATTTTATTAAGCTGACACTTGTGTGTTGTACTGGAGGTATTTTATGTTTGTTTGGATGATCTGCTGAAGTCAGTTTACAGTATATTTGTATTGACCGTGTTTTCTTAGTTTTGCTAGGCTAAAAATGACTGTTTTCTAAGATGAAACACATGGTGAATGTCCACTACAAATCAATTCACAGCAACTATTCTCTATATCTGTGCAGGTACGTAAGGTACAAATGTTTTATGTTAATGTACATCTGGTTATATTCTAAGTGCGTTGCACATTACAGATAATAAAATTTTAAAAATGTGACAGACAGGCAAATTGCATTGAAGGTACAGATATAAATTGCTCGTTGGGAAAAAAAATAAAATTGCATCTTATTTTATATTATCAATCCACTATACGGTCACAAGAACTATTTACAGAGTATTGAGTAATGCTGTTTTGTTTTTGTTATTACAATATTGTAAAAGACTTAAACGTTGTAATACCCTGAATATTATTACATGTACTACTCATTGTTACGGAGAACTCGAGACGAGATGAAACACATGATGAATGTCCACTACAAATCAATTCACAGCAACTGTTTTCTATATTCTGTGCAGAATAAACTGCTGTCACACCAAACTCCAGCAGCTTCTGTGGGTCATTGAAATAAAAAGAGAGGGCAAGACACACCTTCACATATATAAAACATATATTTATAATTTTGGCCTGTGCCCCCCCCAAAAAAAAAAATATATAAAAATTATACCACCAGCCTCTACTGGTTTGGACATATCTGATTGCAATTTTGCTATTGGATTGTAATAACAGAGAATAAAACTGGTTTCAGTTCATTTTCTTAAAACTGCATTAGCTTTACTTTTTATTCTAGCAGCAGGAGACAGACAGACAGACAGC